GCTGACCATTTTCCTGCTGCAGGGCATGATGCACAGACCTTCAACTGGGAAAGTTACCTGGAAAAGACTAAATCAAGACCTGTTCCAGCACGGCTCTTCAACACAGTGAGTGCTGCCAGGAAGAAGAGATTTGTAGGGATGCTTGCAGTCAGCAAGGACGAGCCTGAGAGCTCTGGCTGTCACAGAATGGTTAGGTGGAAGGGACCTCTGGACATCATCTTGTCCAACACCCCTGCTCAATTAGGGCCGCCCAGAGCTGGTTGCCCAGGACCGTGTCCGGACGGCTTTTGCATATATCCATGGATGGAGAATCTACAACCTCTCTGGGCAACCTGTGCCCAGTGCTGAGTCACCCTCACAGTAAAAAGCGTTTCCTGATGTTCAGAGGGAAACTCCTGTGTTTCAGTTTGTGCCCATTGCCTTCGGTCCTGTCCCTGGGCACCGCTGACAAGAGCCTGGCTCCATCTTTTTGTACTTTTTGTTTTTGATATTCATATTCAGATAAGATCCCCCTGAGCCTTTTCTTCTCCAGGCTGAACAGTCCCAGCTCTCTCAGACTCTCCTCATATAAAAGATGCTCTAGTCCCCTCATCATCTTCCTGGCCCTTTGCTGGGCTCTCTCTAGTATGTCCATGTCTCTCTTGTACTGGGGAGCCCAGACCTGGACACAGCACTCCAGGTGTAGCCTCATCAGTGCTGCGTGGAGGTGATCTGCTGGGAACATTCCTCTTAATGCAGCCTGTGATACCATTAGCCTTCTTTGTGTGTTTTGTGCTCACACGCTGCTTCCCAGCCACTCGGCCCCCAGCATGTGCCTGGGGTTGTTCCTCCCTGGGTGCAGGACTTGACGTTTCCTTTTGTTGAACTGCATGAGGTTCCTGTCAGACCATTTCTTCAGCTTGTCAAGGTCCCTCTGGGTGGCAGCACAACCCTCTAGTATATCAGTCTCTCCTCCCAGTTTTGTATCCAGCAAACTTGCTGAGTTTGACATGACACTGTCATGTCATCCAGATAATTAATGAAGACATTGAACAGGATTGGACCCAGTATTGACCCCTGGGGTACACCGCTAATTACTGGCCTCCAACTAGACTTAATGCCATTAGTCACCACCCTATGGGCCCAGCCACTCAGCCAGTTTTCAGTCCACCTCACTGTCTCCTCACCCAGCCCATACTTCCATCAGCTTCTCTATGAGGATCTCATGGGAGACAGTGTTAAAAGCCTTCCTGAAGTCAGGGTAGATGATATCCAACATCTCTACTGGGCTGCTCTTTGCTGCCATTCAGCACTTCTGAGGAGAGCCCAAGACATGGAAGTGTGTGCTCTCCAAGTAAAGCCCCTGTTTGGCTGGTTGGGACCAGCAGTGTCATGCCTTTGTGGATGTAATGGTATCTTGGTCCCTCTGAGTGTGACCTGTGATTCCCTAGTGTTTCCAGGAGCTCCAGGTTCCTGGTGGGTTCTGCACCACTTATTGCGTGTGGAACATGCGACTGGCACTTGGGTGGAGGGGGTCTGCTTTGCATCAGCAAAACTGCTGCAGCACCTGGGCCTGTGCCGATCTTTCTGATTTCCCAGGGCTATCTCGGGTTGTTGGTTTGATTGGGTGTCCCTTAACTGCTGCCCCCCCTAGGTCAGGGTCTTGTTTCTAAAGGCTGGGCTGAGATTCACTAAGGACACAGCTGGCCTTGGATCTATTCATGTGTGCCCCCTTCTGTTCCGCAACTGCTTGGTTCTGTTGCCTGATGGTGGGCTTGTTCTCTCTCTGCTTGCTTTAAGCTGGAGGCAAGCCTGTAGCTGTTCTAGGCTGCTGGTGGCTGGGTGTGGGTTTGGACTGGGTGCAATGGCCTTGGGTTTTCTTTTTTTCATTTTTTCTGCACCCAGGACTGCCCAAACCATGGCTTCAAGGCAGGCATGAAGGTGGAAGCAGTGGACCTGATGGAACCCCGGCTCATCTGTGTGGCCACGGTGAAGCGTGTAGTCCACCGTCTCCTTAGCATCCATTTTGATGGCTGGGACAATGAGTATGACCAGTGGGTGGACTGCGAGTCTCCCGACATTTATCCTGTGGGGTGGTGCGAGCTGACAGGCTACCAGCTTCAACCACCTGTTGTTCCAGGTGAGTGAAGATTTGACTGTAGTTTCTAATGCTAGAGGCAAAGGTTTCCTTCCTCCTGCTCTGTGAGCGGCGCCTCCTTTTTGAGCCTTGTAGGGAGGAGAAAATTGCCTCCTTGATTTGCGCTGGCTACCATAAATCTTCCTCTGCTGCCACACGTTCTAGCAGCTGGCAGAGGGAGGAGTCTGTGGTGGGGAGAAAACAGCCTGAGATTTGAGGTTGGCTCTGTTTTCCCTCTGTTCCCCCACCTGCACACCAACGGAGAATTGCTCCTGATGAAGTCGGGTAGAGTTCCAGGTGGTCCTGTCCCTGCGCAGCTCCCTTTTACTAAGTGTACCTACAGCCTCAGCCAGGTAGCAGGGGGAGCTCGGCCCCTGCTCCCTTTTCTCATCAATTCTCTGCCTCTGTCTGTAAAAGATAAGAGCATCCCTCTCGAGTTTATTCCTTCCGTTGTTGCAGGGAGGCCACCGCCTCACCTTTGCAGATGTTTTCCTTCTTGTCCCAAGCTACGAATCTTGTTTCTTTACTGCCCCTGCCAAATCTCTGCTGGGCCTCTCTCCCCTATGCTGCCCCAGCCTGCCAGCCTGGGCCCTCGCCTGGAAGCACAGACAGCAACTGCACTAGAGCCTTGCTTTTCCCTCAGCTGGTTGTCTCGGGAAGAGGGCGTTGGCTTCGGGGGGACGGGTATATCTTGTTTCTCGCTTATGTCACTTCATCCCAGTTACCTACTGGTTATGGGACTTGGCTTTCGTTTCCCTCTCGTCTCCATGACAGAGCCCACAACTCCAGTGAAGGCCAAGGAGGTGCCCAAGAAGAAGAAGAAACCCTATGGAAAGAAGAGTGAGTGATGTTTGATTAGTGCCCTCCCGCTCGCTCGCAGGCTGGGCCCAGTTAGAGGAACCCTGTCCATGTCCCGTCAGAGCAGGAGAGAGAGGCCTTGTCTTGCTGTGGATGCCTTCAGTCAGCTGTGGGTTTGACAACACAGCTTCATCCTCCTTAACTGCCCCCATTGCCTAAGAGAGCAGAGAGCTGTGTGTGTGGGAAGGATCTGTTTTGCAGTCTGTTTTCTGTTGGCCGAGGTATAGATGGCGCTTGCTTCCAGGCGTGAGGTTGTGCTGCTTTCCCCACTGTGTCCGTGGTCGGAGGGAGATTGTTTGCTGCAGCTGGAGGGTAGCTGGAGAGCAACCCTGCCTGCTTTGTGCTGAGGGGAAGAAGGCCTTAATATGGCTGAAGAAGCCAGTAGTGGGGCTGGCCCATGTTATTGTTTCATCTTGTCGTTGCTGTCGTCATTGTTGCAGTAGCTGTGGCAAATCATGTGTAGAAAGGCAAGAAATTCCTTCCTGGGGGGTGGAGAGGAAAGGACATCTAAAGACTATAAAGACGTTCAACCTAAGTAAAAACGTCAGCTAAAAATGAAAACATTAATGCTGCAGTGTCCATGCCTTGGAGCCACCATGCCCATTGCCTAGGATTAGACCCAGACAGGTAAGCAAAGCTGACTCTAGACTGATTCCAGCAGGACCCGCTCCTCGGAAGTTAAGCACACGCTGAAGTGCCTTGCCTTTAATGAAGGAGAACATGGAGGAGCATATTTTGAGATGATGACTATAGAGTTTTTTTCCAGTAGGCCATTTCTGTCGATTAACCAGTTGGCAGCTAATGACCGTGTAGCTTGCTGGTCAGTTGTGCTGGTCCCTGGCCTGTGGTTTCTCAGTGAAGCAGGGTTGCTAATTTCCCAGGGGAAAAGAAACACACTTTTCCCCATGCTCTGTTATCTCTTTGTTAAGGAAAAAAGTTACCTGCCAAAACCCGCAACATCAAGCAGACTGTCAAGAAGCCTTCTGCCCCGAAGACGAAACGAGAAGCAAAAGCTGCCAGCAAGGCTTTGCCAGAGCCAGCACCTGATGAGAGTAAGGGAGTGAGTTATTCTACCCAGCAGCCACAGGCAGCTCTCTCACATACGCCCTGCATGCCACCGGCCCTCACGAGGCCTGTGCTGCCTCTTGGCCGTTAAGTCATGGGTGCCCCCAGGCAGGGAAAGGCAGCACGTGACAAGTGTCCTTGCCCACTCCTCCAGAGACAGAGTGGAAGACAGCCTTTACCGGCTTTCCCTGGGAAGTTTTGCCTCCTGAGGAGGTTTGGTGACACCAGTATAGCTGGATATCTTGATACTGCTGAGGGCCTGGCTGCCCTAGTGAGCAGTCTGGTTGCATGAGGTCAGTTACGGAGAACAGTCAAGACAGACATGTCAAAAGTGTGCTGTCGCATCCCAGTCCCCATAAGGGCTGTCGCAGCACGTGAAAACAGCCCGTCGTGCTGAGCACCAACAGATGTAGTGACCAGAAGGGCATCTGGCAGCTGGGTCACTGGCAAACCCTAGTGGGTGTTGGGGAAGAGGGTGGGTGAGGTGCTCTGTGCACGTGGGGATGGAGCCTCATGAAGGTCCCCATTGCTCAGAAGGTTTAATTTCCTCTGTGTGAACCCAGGCAGGTAGAGAACGGACCACGCTGGCTTTTCCTCCCTCAACCCTAGGAGAAGTTCTTGGGAGCAGGCAGCTGAATGCTGCCAGGGTTTAGTCCCGTCCTGATTGCTGCTGTGACCATGGATAGATTTGTGCCAGCAAGACAGGGCTGCCTGTGGTAAGGGATCCTCAAGAAGTGGGCTGGAAACCTGGGGCATTTTGAGTATCTGCATGAAACAGAGCTGATTCTGGGGTGCTGCAAGTAGAGCAAGGCAGCATGTGTTGATTTTACTTATTTATTTTTCCCTCTCTCTTTCTGTCTCTTGCTAGTCATTGCCGTGCAGGTAAAGGAAGAAACCATCGACCCTTCGGTAGCAGACTTTGGAGCCACAGAGCTTCCCGTTCCTGTCAGCAGCATAAAGCAGGAGGTCGCAGACTGATCCCGGAGTATCCCCCCCTGCCCACAGCAGCCTGTGCTTCACCTTGTGGCTCTTTGGGGAAGGCCCTTGCAAAGGGGAGCAGAAGACTAAAAGAGCCTTCCCTTTTTGAGGCAGACCACCCCGCAACATCACAACTCTGCTTTCCTGGTGTGCAAGAAAATTTCCCCCAGACTTGTAATTTTAAGCCCTGGGAAACGGACTCCAGAAAGGCCGCAGGCGCGCTGAGGAGCATGGCCAGGGTGGCTGCTGGGGTTGTGTGTGCCTGCCTTTGAAGGCACCTTTCCAAGCAGGAGCTCCCAATGGGGAAAGAGGCTGCCAGAGCACAAAGGGGCAGTTTGGGTTCTCGGCCGTGGCTGGAGGTGGCGAGCTGCAGTCTGAGATGATGTGTGCAGGTCACACGCGTCAGGAAATGGGCTGCCCTCATAGGACATCGGTGCTGTGCTCCCTGCTCTAGGCCCTGCAACCCCCGAGAAAGTCTGGACAGGAGGAGCGGAAAGAGGTGAAAAACCAAAAAGGGATGATGATGCCTCTTGAGGGAGGGAGAGATCTTGAGTGTCATCACTTCTTGCTTTTGAACCCAGAACTGCAGAGGATATGGTGCACAGTTTGAATTTTTAATTTTTTTTAGCAGTCCTACTGTAAATTTGCTCTACAATCCGTACCCTAAAGCCCTGTGAATTAAACTTGAGGAAGAGGCCAAAGGCTTATGTTTTGTTTTCTGGGTCACCAAAACTCAGGGTTAGCCAAGATGGGAGGAGAAAAGGGCTGTAAGTGGGTGGGTGGAAGTAAACAGTGTTTTGTGCTGTTTGGGGATTATTTTTTTTTTTGAGGTGTGCGACAGGCTTTTTCTGTGCGCTTGCCCCTATCTATTTGCCAGCTCTGCTGAATATCACAAGAATGCAATAGATAATTTAAGGTAGGGAATGCCATTTCCCCTTTTGGAGCAAAACTGACATTCCTGTGAACTGCCTGGCGGTGAGGAAGGGCCCTGCCCGTTGGTGCCACTGCGGTGCCCTGTCAAACCCGACAGGGAAATGGTGGCTCTCCACGAAATGGCTGCCTTGGCCACGCTCTCCCCTCAAGTTTCCGGGCAAGAGCTTGTGATGCCAAAATAGTTCCCACTTTGCACAGTGGATCGTGACAAAAAAAAAAAAAAAAAAGTTGGCAAGCTGACTGTCTAGAAAACCCTGGGAGTAATGAACACAGTCTCCTCCTTTTCCCTTCGAAAGAGGCAAATGGAGCCTTTAACTGGAGAGGGAAGAAAAGGCCGTGGGGGAGCAATGAAACACAAGTGGCAAAAGCGTGGAGGGTCTGCGTCAAACCCGGCAGCAGAGCTGTGCCATCTCGGCCCGTTCCTAACTGACCCCTGGGAGGGCCCTGGGCTCCTGGGGAAACCACGACGGGGTGAGTGTGGTGGCGGTGGGATTTTTATCCAAGCCATCTAATGGGGCTTCCCAGCCCGCTGGCCTCTCCTGGCAGCTCTGCCGAGCACCAGCTTGTGATAGATCTCTTAACGTGGGAGGCGACCGTTTCAGGGCACAGCCGTTGCCTTTCTCTCTTCCCCTCCCTCTTGGGCTGCCACCTTTCCCCAGCCTTGTCAAACAGCGGGGCTTGTAGGGCCACCTGTCTTTATAGGATGGTAATTTCCAAAAGCCTTTGGCTTTCTTCCTCCTGTTTTTTTGCCCTAACAGTTCCATGCCCTACGTGGTCATTTAACAGCTGGAAGTGTTTTTACCTTTTAAAGCCTTCCCAATTTGAACAAACTTCCGACTATCAAAAGAAGAATTGCCCTGGGGTCGGGGGGGTCCCAACCTGGGCTGCCATGGGGAATAGGTTGGGTACATCGCTTCTGAATGGGATGTGGGAACCACCGATCGTATTTTGCAGGAAATAGAAAGCTTTTGATCTGCTTATGTTTTAATTCGGAGGAGCTGCTGGGAATTCAGGCGCTTTTTTCACTGATGATAATTTTTACGTTTTCTGCTCTAAGATGTGAGCCAGTGGGGGATCTTGCATTGGTGCTGTAGGCAGTCCTGCTCAGGGGTCTTTAATTGGTTCTGAAGCTGTGAAAGCACAGCACTCTTAAAAACAAAAACAAACTTGCAGATTCCAGCTTTTCTGCATGGCTGAAGGGAGCCTTGGGAAGAAAAAGCAAGTATTTGGCTTTGTTGTTCAAGTCATGGAAGCGCGTCGCAAATGCTGCGGAAGCTTTTTGCACTGGTTCTTTCCAGTGCCTCTGTGTCCTGCAAAAACAAGGCCTGCATCTTTGGCAAACTGGCATCGCTCCGGTGGCACCAGGCTCCCTCCTTTGCACCTTGTGCAATATCCGTGTTGCTGCGGTGGGGACAAATGCAGTAAAACTGCTCTCACCAGACTATAGGTACGGCCTTGTTGCGTCCTGCACGTGTTTCCTAAGCTCTGCTCTTCTTGAAGTCTCTGGCTGGTGATTTTCCCAAGCTTTTTTTCTTGCCGGGCTTGCTTGCAGCCTTGGTCTTGTCAGGACTGGCTCCCCCAGCCTTGCCTCGGCCCCAGCCAGGGCAGGTTTGGAAAGTGGTGGAAAGCTTCACCTTCAGCCCCTGGGCTTCTGCAGGGGACCCACAGGTGGCCCCTACGCGGAGGTTGAGTTTGTCGATCCACCTGGAAACGTGGCAGGAGATCAGGGAAAGGAATGGGACGGGACAGGGTGAAGGGAGAGGCAAAACTCCATGCCCGTGAGTGGGCACAGGGCACTTCAAAGCCAGGCCTCGCCTGGGGAAGCTGTGAATATCTGAGTATCTGCCCACCTCAGCTGGTGGCTGGGTTCACCACTCCCAGAAAGACCAAGCCACTTCCCACCTTGCACGTAGGCACGTGCTCTATCTCTCCACCGTGGGAGAAGACACAAATGGCCAGTGTGCCACAGGCTTGTGGCTCCAGCCCGGCAGGGTCCGGCTGTTCCCCGGGTTGTCCCCTGTGGCTGTGCCCCCCTTGTGGCACTCACCTGCGCAGGGGAAGGAGCTGGCAGTCGCAGTGGAAAGGCACATCCCTCAGGTTGAGGATCTCCAGCCCTGTGAAGTTGCTCATGTCGGGGATGTTGCTCATTTTGTTGCTCTCCAGGTAGAGACTTCTGATCTTGGGACCAAGGCCAGTGAAGGCACCGGGGGAAATCTGCAACGAAGTGAGGGTGAGTCGGGGGTCCTGATGGAGGCAGGGGAGCAAATCTCTGCCCTTGCACTGCTAATCAGCCCGAGGTGCTGAGAGAGCCCTTCCTGACCTGGTGGCCCCGCGAAAGAGCTGTTTTAAACAGCAGCACATGTGCTCAGGGACCATTAATTGACTCAACCGGTTTTGGTCACATTTTGGGACTCACTAGACCCTGCTCAGTCTTCCCGGAAAGGTGACACGCAGGAGGTCTTAGAGGGATCCCTGGGCACTGTTAAAGGTGGATGGGCCTTACAAGAGTAGTGCTAACATGGCTTTCTTTAGAGGATGGAGGAATTCAGGGTAATAGTGGTGAAAAGTCCCACAGGACAGCTTGTAGGAAGAGCAGGAGAAATATGGCCAGGGCTGGGGGAAGGGGGTGGTTTGGGGAATGATCTGGACCCCACTGAAACTGGGTGTCTTTAAGGACCAGGAGGAGCGAGCCTGTCTTGGGGGAGCTGAGGGATAGGTTGGAGCGAGACAACACTCCAGCCAAGCCCAAGGAAGCCTCTCCTGCCGGCCAGGCTATGGAGCATCTCCTGAAGCCTCAGGAGTTTGGGGACGTCTGTTCAGATGACCCTGTGGGGGCCACCAGCCCTGGGCACTGGAACAAGATGGGACCTATGGCTGTGCCTTGTGGTGCCCCTGCCCCTTGGGGGTCCCCAACCACACGCACCCGCTCCAGGCCCATGTTGTCCAGGTAGAGGTGCTGCAGGCTGGAGGCCACCGGCAGGAAGGCACTGTCCCTTATGTGCTTGATGGGGTTTCGGGACAGCTTCAGCTCGCTCAGGGCGGACAGGCCCTGCAGGGCTGCCGTGGGCACCTCTGCCAGGCGGTTTCCCTCCAGGTGCAGCTTCTCCAGCATCTTGGCAGGATGCAGGGCAGCAGGGGCAATGCGCCCGATGGCGTTCCCAGTGAGGTAGAGCCAGCGCAGCCCCCCAGCCCCGGCCAGGTCGCCCTCTGCCAGCTCCCCGATGGTGTTGTGCTGCAGGTGGAGGGAGATGAGGTTGGGCAGGAGCTGGAAGGCATCTGCGGGCAGGCGGGCGAAGGCATTGCGGTCCAGGTCGAGGTAGGCCAGCCGCGGGGCCCCCTCGAAGGCAGTGGCCATTAAGGTGGAGAGGCGGTTGTCGGTGAGGTAGAGGTAGACCAGGCTCTCCAGCCCCCGCAGCGCCCCAGGGTGCAGCCCCCCAATGCTGCAGCTCTGCAGGTGGAGGGACACCAGCTCCTTCAGGCCAGGGAAGGCGCCTGGTGGCACCGTCCCAAAGGGATTTCGGCGCAGGTCGAGGAGGCGGGTGTCCCCGGGGAAGCCCCGGGGGATCTCCCGCAAGTCCCTGTTCTCGCAGGACCCATGCCGAAAATCGGGGGAGCAGGCGCACCCCTGGGGGCACTGCCTGCTGCCGGCCGCCCTCGGCTGCTGCGATGGCACAGCGGGGCTGGGGGGCAGCTGGGGGCGGCCACATCTCATCTCAGGAGGCCTCAGGGAGTCGAGGGGCCGGCCGCGGAGGGCAGGGGGTGCGGCGCAGACCCCCTCCACCTGCACCCGCGCCCTTGCCAGCCAGTCATGGAAGGGGCGCAGGAGGCAGGAGCAGAGCAGGGGGTTCCCAGCCAGGCTGACCCTCGCCAGCCCCCTGGCCCCAGCCAGGGGCGGCAGACCCCGCAACTGGTTTTCACGGAGGTCCAGCGTACGCAGCTGGGGGCTGCGGGCGAAGGCGTCGGCTGCCACGTCCTGGAGGGCGGCGTGGTCCAGGAAGAGGTGCTTCAGGGAGGCCATGGCCAGGGCCTCCTCAGCCATGTAGGTGATGGGGTTGTGGCCCAGGTCC